TACATCGATGTTTGTAGAAATACTGGTTTGGCAAAGATTGAAACTAGGCGTGATTTACAGGTAACCTGCTACCGACAATGCACACAATTTATTGACCTAATTCCAACCAGCTATATCGAACATTTGCTTACGAATATACTCAAACGAACGAACACTACACATGTTCATTTGATTGTAGCATGGGGTCACCCAGAGATATTGCTAACATCCCACTCCATGTAATTTAAAACATTAATTTGGATACAGGAACACATACATACGTGGTTACGTTCAGAAACGACATATTTATGGTCTACACCGGCTCCAACATAGAACAGCTTTCATAAATTAAATCCACCAAATCTACAATACATGCAAATGCCACCTATAGATTTATGACATTGCACACCGTGGACATGTCGTCATACCAAGGGAACAGACACGTTAACATATTTGAATAGAACACCGTTCTAGTCAGGATCATGTCTTCAAGGGGTTCATGAATAGCGAAACAATTCGCTACACGAGGACAAGTAATAATTCACCCTACTTTATTACAAAATGGAACATGTGTCGCAACAAACTAATAAAACGTGGATACAGTAGCACGGAAATTAAGAAATTCTTATTATCATTTGAACACAGTAATGAATAAAACATATCAAAAAACCTGCAACAACTAAACCAATGATAACAATTTCCACACTTAACAATCCTTTTATAAATCATCAGGTTCAAGGGCCGCACTGATAACACATTGGAACAAGACTTTATTCTGAACATGCTCTACCCACAGATAGTTGGACAAACTTATGTATTTTAATAAATTACTAAATAATAAAATGTTATATAACTTTTCTTTTACCCCCCCCCCCCGGTATCGATTTCGAGTAATCACTGATCTTTGCTTTTCTTTATCGCAACTTTGTTACGCGCTAATGTTATATGCAAATTTAACGCGCGATGTAGACACATCCTATTATAGTAAAATATACTGTAATAGGATGTGTCTACATCGCGTGTTTTCTCTAATAAGTGATGATGAAACCAGACTTGCACACCAAACAGAAATACTCAGAACTGGTATGGCATGCCGTCTACTGCGAACTGCTTGGTAGTAATGTGTTCTGACATAGATTAATACCGGAAGTGTATACCCTCAAAGCAGTGCATTGTGATTTTTTGCTGCCAATGTCAAGGAATGTGTGCTCGATACTACCTCCTGGCCAGAAGTGAGCGGAGGGAGCAATCACATAAGCCACTGTCTCTATAGGGATCGAGTCATTCATCTCTTGGTAGGAAACACCTATAAATGATTTGATGGGCTTTCTAACCCTTGGCTTGTGAGTTGAAGGAATCGTCAATGGGTTCATACTGTGTAGCTGACTCGGTGCACTGAGACTTTCACGTCATTTTTGTGTTAACCGCGCCCTCTAGTGTTCGTGTTGATCGGTACAAAGACTGAGTAGTTTGTTAAATAGCTTCTTATTTCATACAATTATTTCATGTTAAATTTTATTATACTGTAGGAGTGTTTGTACATGTATTTTCAGTCAAGAACGTGATCGCCTGTGTTTAGTGTATTAGTTGGTGCTGCCACATACTGGGATTCACCAGCTGGGACATGTTCTGTTCACATTGGAACAGACTCTATGCAGATCAATGCAAGTCCGAAGTCAAACGTGAGCAGTAACACGTACGGATCCCGTACAGTTTGCAACAGGTTTATATTTAGCACAGCATATACATGATAAATAATATGTCGAATAATAAAATCCATTGTGATGGCTGGCGCTATAGGCTCTATGATTGGCTAGTACACGTTTAGAATTCCCTTTTGCAACCAAGGTACCTGTTTGTCGTCATCAATTGTCAACTCTTCAGGCATGTGAATTCCAATCAATGCAAACCCCACGGCGCCTCCTCGCCAAACCACAAGGGCATAATCACGGCCACAGGAATGACACTTCTCATGTAGATCATCTACGCAAAAATAGAGATTACGCATGTATCACAAATGTGAAGAGTATTTGGCGATTTCCTATGCTGGTTTAATATAATGCCCAGGTAGCTCAGGCTTGGAGATAATGTGATTTTGTCGATACTTTCTCCAAAGACAATAACCACACATAAATTACTTCTTGCTTTTACTCCAATATCTGTCACCAAAGGGACATAGAACTTAAGAAATTGTTAGAGCAAATATAAACGCTCAGCTTCGTTAGCACTACTGAAAGTGCGCAATATGTGCGATGGACTATTCTCTGTGTTTATCTGCACAGAGAAAAGTAATGAATTGTGTAATTTGTTCTACCAATGAATCAATGTTGAGGGCGAAAATCGCTGAGATTAAACCTATATTTGCCTATTTTAGACAACACCTAACAATATTCAAATAGTAGTAGTAATTTGCTAGTGGTGGTAATAACAATGATTAAAATGCGCAGCGCCCTCACATGTATAGTCCAAGATTGATTAAAGCCCTCTTGAAGAACACTATGCATATTATTGAATGTGAAAAACGCCCCAGGTGTTGTCTATTTTTTGTGAGGGGTCATACCGAAATATTAATTGTTTAAAGAGAAAAGTATCCCACTACTAAATACAGGTCTACTTTAAATTAGTCAGGTATGTGCAATGAGTCATAACCTGATATTTATGAAGGTGGTATTCAATAATTGGATTTCAATTATTTATGATTACAGATGTCAACAAAATGTTCCAGCATAAATACTACTATGTGCATGCTGGTTCGATCTACACTATATTAGAAGCAAACTATTTGGCTGTACGGCTGTCTCTCCTCCATTCTTGGGTAAAAAAAAACGTCGAGGCTTGAATATTCAAAATATTGGATATATAAATATTGCAATAAAACAAATTGAGATTTGAAATGAAAGACAGTTTATTTAATGTTTTTTTTCTGGGTTTCAGTATATTATAATACATTGCGGTGATGAGTTTGACATAGAGTATACAGCGCCAACTACGGCGGTTACTTTTGCATAATGATGGCGCCCGCTACGGCTTTTGTGGTAATACACTAGCTCTGGTGGAATGCCTGTCGAACACAATGAATGAGACTGAAATTATTGCCACAATGAACAATGTTGTAAATTCAAGTTTATGTCAAATGCATAAAAATATCACGCAAGTACCTGAAACGTGCACATCGTGCATAAGATTTTGTCGCTGAGATAGTCACAAATAAAATACGTATTAATAGTGTAAATAAAACGTTGTTTACAAAATAAATAAACCTATATATATAGGAAAAAACCATGGCAACAATTCATGTGCCTATGGGTTTGTGTCAGATGACTGAAAACAGGTTAGGTGTCTATACAATTTCTAGAAGTTTTTATCATTTTTATCTTTTGCATTAATATCAGTTAGTGAATAAAATGATTGATGGGAATAGCTCTTGTAAAATAATATGCCATATAGAGGTGTAGAAGAAGGAAGACGTGACATAAAAAATAATGTTAGTACGGCAATACACACATGATTGTGATTCTTTAAAAATATGCATAGAACACAAAAGTGATATCAATATCTTGGCGACAAACGCGTTAATTTGCTTTTCCTAGAGTATAGTTAAACTATCAAAAAGTGCACATTGTTTCATTGGCAAACTTGACATTGACATTTTGATACTGTAAATGTATTTAAACAAATGTGAAAACACATCTTTTCGCAGTTTTAACATTATTTACACCGCGAGTACGAATTGTTAAATAAACGCATAATCATTACCATGGCAGCAAAGTACCGTGCGAATCTTTGGAAAAAATAAAGTAGTTAGAAAGTTCAAAAGTATAGGCAACATATAACAAAAAAATCTATGACGTCAGCGTGATGTAACGAAGCAAATAAATAATCACAGGATAACATTGCCCGAGGTCTACTCTTATGAAACACATACATGACAAGACATGACTTGTTTTCATTTGTAGACATAATCACGTATCGACGGAGATAGATGTTGTTCGATACGTGTTCAAACATTCTAAACAGGTAAAAAAAAACAGAAACACAATGAACGTGACAGATCACACAACACAATATTGCTGGTCAATATATTATATCACGTCTAGCTGACATAATTTCTATTTGATTGAGGACAAATGCTGTCACGTGACACGACTACACTCGTTTTCAACTTTCCTAATCTTCCCATTGACACATGTTGATCGATTAACTGTATTGGTCGATTAAAACAACAGATCGCGCATCTAAACTCAACCACGTGCATTACGAGATCTCATAGTAGATAAACAGAAATTACATTAAATTATGTCATTTGAAAATTATTATTGTGATTAAGTTTAGAAAAAATAAAATACTAGTTACATGTCCCTGTGTTATATAGTGCATTTGTTTTAACGTACGCAATAGGTTGTAGATATTCCCAATAAATATACAATCGCGCAATGTTTCGAATATTTATTTCTAATTACGCGATGTTTTTCAAGATTGTGTACTTTTCAGTCGAATCGTCCTCCATGGCAGCAATGCTACCTCAATAAGCAGCTACATCCTTGTCATACATAAATGACACTGCCCGTTCCTAGACAACAAAGGGGGCTGTCACTCAAACACCTACTAACTTGTAAAACATCAAAGATGACGATGCCCTCTACCCTCCACAATTAGCCATTGCTTGTCATGCTAACCTTCTGGGCAGCAAGTTTACCCCCTCCCCGACACTCATGCACACACTAACAGCTACTAGCCTGCCTTACATTTACAACATATGTGATACTACTCTTCACGGGCAACAGTGATAAGCAGGTAGATGCTCGGCATACTACAGGGGCGACGCTTCCCACCAAGGCACAATGCAATAATTTTTAAAGAATTAAATGTTGTTAAAGACACTTCAACGCTGTATTTACAGTAGCGCAAATGCTTATGCAAAGCGAACAGTTGCTTATAACTACGGTGAAAATTCAGTTCCATGTGTAGAGCGAAGTGATTGGATAACGCATCAATCAATCCTTCATAAAGTCAATTCAATTTCAGAGTGACGTTACGGTACAGGAACGCGGGGGTTGTTTTTCTTCTTCAAATAGTGCAAAGTCAGTAAGAGTTTTCCTAGGGCTATCACCGCTGGTAGGCGATCGGCGACATGGTTCCGTCTCCATAGCATCCGAAAGCATTTCGTTTGAATGTCTGCGTGACGGTGATGCAGGCGAATCTTTTTTAATGAATTCGTCACACTGACCAATCTCTTCATCTTTTTGCATTTCTGAATGTAGCGCTGAGTTTGTTCGTCTACGGGCATAATTATCATCATCGTAGTCCCTCCTGCTGTTTTTTCTCCTGTTTCCCTCAGTTGAAATCGACATGTCAGACTTGGACATCCTGTATAAAAAAAATATAGTGTTATCCGACATTAATAGACATTTGCCTTTACTTTAATGTAATATGCGACAGTTACACGTTCATACATACATTTTATCATGTGCAGTTAAATGGATTACATACCTGACTCTAAAAGCGGAACCCATCCACGGCTCTGTTTTGGTTTTAAACGAAAATTCTGTATGTGGTATCTCAGGCTCCATTATGTCGTAATGTATATCCTTGACCAATGGCATTTGTAGATTATAGATGTGATCCACGATCAAATAGCTCACCTGTAATGCATAACAATATCAGTTTTAATACATTGAGTCCATACGTAACGCTTCTATGAATTTAAAAATCGCCACTTACGTCTATATATGTGAGCAATTAGGCTATAACTGTGCTTTACACTGAAGTCCTGAAATGCCGAAGTTGACTGTTATATTTCATATATATTGTTTTATTGATGTCGGTCCACAGCAGTATTTACTCGCAGTTGTGTGCTAGGCATTCTCTTAATCAAGAATAAACGTGAAATACCGTCTAAATATCTGCCCTCGTCCAATCAGAGCGACGTAATCGGGCAATTATAATGATGGCATAATATATAGAATGCAATCGGATTTGTACTATAAATCATAACTTGATATCCAAATTGGTACAATTTTGTAACTAGAAATGGTACATTCGCGAAAACGATTTGAATTGATTTGGTGTTTGGGCGAATGACGGGAGAAAAAATTGCTGACACGAACGGCCATTTGCTGCACTTGTTTATTTTTTATTGTAAATACGAGTAACAATTTATTTTGAGGTGCGAAAAGCAATGAAAGTGACAAAACGACATTGAACGCTGAAACTACGTGACAAAATAAGCCTTGTTTGGTTTACAATAACATTGTACAGTACATGTTAACGATAGCTAGGACATTTAAGACACAGGTAAAAAAGACGGCACGATATAGCAATTAATTCAACTGCCCTATGAAATGAGCACTTTAGTTAATTTCTTCAAACCCATATGATGAACATCGCAGGTTTAAAGGTTTAAACACCTTCTGCTTTTGCTGATCAGTTTTTGTGTCTTTCTTAACTTTTTGAAAGACTAGTATGTGTTAATGGAGTTTTTGTGGCGGAATAATAATCAAAATGGAACCTTATATCCTATATCACTTTGAAAAAATGGTAAAAGCGTGTTTCTTGTTCGTTTTTTTAGAAATGTTTGTTAATTTTTTTAAATATTTGTTTATAGTTAAGGGAGTGCAGCTAAATTCTACAGGTAATCGATCCGATAACATATTTTATAATATTTGATGACATATTCCATATGTACTAGAATAGGTTTTATTATTATTTTATGTTGTACTTAATATATTGAAACAATTGAGTTATTAGTTCGTAAGTACCGAACTCGGGTAAAATTATTTTTGTATACTCGAATGACCCAAATGTAATTTCTTATACGGATTGATTTATGATTGTTGTCCCCAAAACGAATACCCCTGAAAGTTGATGGACGGCGTCTTGAAATGACAAATCGCTTGGATCCCTATTTTGCTATTACAACATGCGAATCAGAATGTGAATATATGTTTACTATATACCTGTAAGTTTCTGTCCACTACCCAGTTCATCTCAAAATCGTCGTCATCTTCACCGAATGGATTCATGAGATTTTCAGCTACCTTTGGTGTAAACAAATACATAACAAATCAGCTGAATTTACAACACAAAATGAATATTGAGGATGGACACTTAACAAATCCACAAAATCTTGCATTTGTGGTATGAAAGAATAAGTTAAAAAACAGTGAACTTTGCCTGTGCTAGAGAAACCTTCAACCTGTTTTTATATATTAGAATATGTATATATTAATGCTGAATTGATTAATAATACCTACTATATGCATACATACAGATTGAGGCTGAGGCCCATGAGGTTATTGACCTGAAGCACTTGCTGAATTTCATTTAGCCATAGGCGTGTTTTATATGAATGAAATATAGATCTTTTATAATTTCAAATGACGGTTGAAAAATGTAAATTATTGTAAATATTCAGAAATGACGGCAACATTTCATTTGCTGTGTGATTGTTCGAGTGTTTTACAACACTACTTGGAGTTTCGTATGCAATTGACCCAACGTACCTTACCTAAAAATGAACCTTTATGATTTAAACATTCCGTGCAATATGTCTACGAACGATTAGTATCAAACGTTTTGGATGGGATCTATATCCTGCGTAGTAAATCGGCCATCATAATGGAGGGAAAGACGCAAAGGCTTATGGGAAAAAATAGCGTTATCGAGTCATATCTCAGCAAATACACACTTTTCTCCTGATATGAGTGTAACACGGTGCAAAAGTGAAAAGCCTTCTTGCCTTAGTAAAATGCAGTGCACAAGGCGATGATGCACTTAAAACAATAATTATGGAAGTATGATTAGGGTCACAAGTCATGGTATTACATTTGAAAGATTTGAAAAGACCCTACTAATTTTATCAAACATGCGACATAGGGCAGTTATTCTAAAACGGGCATTTCAATAAACTCGACACTAGCCTTCTGAAAGATGATATATAAAAAAAGGTTGGCGATATGATAACATCTAGTGTTTTTGAGTGGAAAGTAAACCAGTTGCAGCCTCAACTTTTTTTGAAACCTACACAAAAGTCAGCTAGATATCACCGACATACTAGTATACTAAGAAATAAATTAGGAAATTTTACAACATTTTTGTTGAAAATATTCAGAACGAACAAGCAAACGTTGAGATCGAGTTGGAGAAAATACTCGTATACCAACACAAATCCAATGCCGCTAGAATTCACTCACGTACCGATGACTAAGTGAAAGGTGAAAGGTCAACTCGTAATTTTCTTAACCCTGAGAGACGTAATATAACTCAGTACACCACCCGCAAATTGCAATGTGCTGATTCGAAGATAACAAAGCAAAAACATATATTTGCAGCGACCGTTCGCTTTTATTTCCATTTATATACCGCAACACATGTCAGCCAGGAAGTAATCTAACACTCGATGTGGTCGAATACAGTAGAAGCCCAGATTTTGACTGGTTTCATAGTTTTATCAAAAGTTTATTATGCCATTTGGGGAACTGTTTTTGAAATAATTCAAAGGGAGCTGGAAAGAAGTAATCCCAAACACAGAATTTGAGACTATTGTTCACAAAATAATCTTGACTGAACAGATCTTGAAAACAAAATTTCAATAAGTCTTTCCAATGATTTTAATGTTTAATGACAAAACGAATGCAGCCAATACTTGCCCGTATTATGAACTCAATTGAATGAGAAAACTAATGAACAATTAATGAAGTAATTTTATACACAAACGGAGTAAACACCCCCGGGGCAATTTTTTTCTTGTAAAACTTTTTATTCTGTGGAATGCGTTTTTCATAAAACGCCTTTGCTCGTGGGTAAATGCTATATCCTATTAATATTAATACGAGCTTGCTACAAGCAAAATACAATTGTCACGCGATATTTGATAGGGTTGCTTCCTGTCTGCCTTGCTGCTTTTATTATTTCTTGTTGGCACTGTTCAGCATATATAAATCGTGGCTAATGTGTTAAAAGTGGTATTTATTAATATTTATTTATTTATTTATTTATTTAAAACTGGTAATGCATTTCTGTTAAGAAAAAAAAACGAAATATACTGAATGTGTGGCAAATACATAAGCATATATATAATTTCAAAAATGTTACTGGGTCAGCATAAAGGAACAAATTTACACCTGTCCATGCAAAGACGATGATGAACTTACTTACCTTAAGCCACCCAAAGTAAAACAAAAACTGTAGCATAGTAAAGGCTGGGAAATAGTAATCTACATTATAACGCTGTATATCAGCTGAACTCGGATAATCAATTCCATCTGGCATCTGTTCCGATTTACGCCCGAGCTGGAGATACTGCCTACCAAACAAACAGGCACAAAAGAAGGTATAAACAGCAATGGTCACAACCTGTAAAATGAAACAAATTATATACATTCATTTGTGTGCAGCAGTAGTAGTCTGAGATTTTCGCAAATGCTAATTCGTGGCATTGATAAGTACTTCATACATACACGATGTGAGATACCCACATGCCCATAAGTTGCTAGTATATTCCCACAGTTCTCGTGCTACTTACACTTCAGTGTAAAGTCAGTGCATTAATAGTAATTCCCATACTTCACTAATATTGTTAATGCTGTCTATTTCATTACACATTGACTATATTCTGTACATTACCAGTACTACCCATTCTTAAAAATAGTACCAGTTCTTCTCACACTCACAAACACTATTACATTTTCACTATTTCAGTGACAAAACTGGAAATTCATTCCACTAATTTACTGTAATATTAGGGCAAATAGCGCAAAACGTCTCACTCATCATATAGGCACATTATATGAAGTAGGAGCACTTTCCATTGAATCAGATGTTTTAGTACATCCAATTGTAACTTGGAAATTATACCTGTAGCCAGATATATCTGAGGACAATTAATATAATTAAAAAATGTGTGTGTATATGTGTGAAATGCGTTTTAATAAATCTTAATTGTCAAACTTATCAATGTTGGTAAAGCCAACAATATTTCTACTGGGAATTTAGAATGTGTAAAATGAATTTATTGGAAATATATTTTATATATTTTATTGAAATTCATAATCTTCCAACAAACCTTCGTTCAGTGCTATGGAATTTATGCATGACAATTCTCATATTGAAAAACAGGTATGAAATATACGTTGGTAGTAGGTTGAGGCTCTTGGTTTGGCAAGGGCAGATGCTGTTCATACAGCACATACTGCCAATCCTACATTAATCGGTGTACAGAAATATTGTAAGATCTCCTTACTGGAACAATTAATGATCACGTATTACAAATTAAACTGCGACTTGGGTTACCACCGTGGTATGCTGATGTATATGTTAATTACAACACTGACGCGTATAGAACTAAAGACTCCAAAATAAGAAACTCTAGAATATGATGCCAAACTGTCCTCATAACAGTTGCTTACCTGTGTGTACACCAATGGTATCGTTACCCAATCAAAACCATACAAGTCATCGCAATTGTCGTGGAATTGATTCAAATCCTAGAAAATATTGAAAATGTGAATTGTTAATTGAATTATTCGCTCAATACATGAATGGGTATTTTGTACGATTGTCTGAAATCATTGTTTTATGGTGCAAATAATAAATATGGCAGCTTGACGATGCCCCTGAAGTAGATATTTATTCCCTTTGATAACGTGAGAAATTTTGTTGTATCGGTGTTTAGTGTTATCAGATTAATGACATTGATGGAATCTTATATATATATATATATATATATATATATATATACCACAATGGCGAATATTAAAACAGAATATTTGATATAAACTCACATCAATTATCGTTTTAGCCGCGGGTGCCGATTTGATTCGGTTGTCATCCACAGCTTTCCTAACAAGATTGATAAACCAAGCACACGGTAACCAATGCTTGGGGTGATCGGAAGGTATTTCTAAATACACTCGTTTCTCTTCCTCTGTCATGAAACCTGCCATAAATTACAGAATGTCAACACTATTATAGTTATAGTAATGTGACGTGTGAAAAAAATTAAAATCGCGTTCTTAAAACGAAAAAGAAAGATGCTGATAATGGTCTGTCAAAACCCGAATGTGAATATGTTTGTTTTTGCTGTTGAGTTATGGATATACCACTCACAAATGTCTGTATGTCTAGATAGTAATTATCATCACCAATTGTATACAGGTTAATGTTGGTCAGGTTGCTGACGACGGCATATGGAAGTTATGTGGTCTGTAAATGTGTCACGTTTAATCTTAAAAACAAAGCCACATTCAGATAAACAGGCTTGTTGTTGATCACATACTGGGAGTTATTTCAATATGACATCAAGTAAATTCATAGTTTTGAAAGTGATGTACAATTACTTAAATTTTCATATATGTAATTACTGCCTCGCTCAAAGTGTGTTTTTTTCAATATGCTGTAACAAATGCGCGTTTATGCAAAATTAAACTTGACCATGTGCCTCGCAAACCAGAGAGAGGTGAATAGGGTAGAATGTTGGCAGGTAATCAAGTTGAAATATCTAGTAATATGTTGTGTTATGAGATATTGGCATGTGACTGATGTCATGCTTTGTTTGTTGTGCAAGCGAGCTTTCATCATCAAGGTTAAAAGGTCGGCTTCTGAAACATAAAGCAGTAATGTAATGCCAGCACGGCCCTGACTAGATTCGCAAGTAAGAAGATAAAAGTTGTGATCGTGCAACTTTTATAAAACAGCTGGAAAGTGAATGTGTTCCAACACTATAAATGATGTGTCTTTAATCCGATGCAACTATATTGCAAAGAGTCTACCAATCGTATATAATCTTGTGTTACGCCTTGTCATAAAACAGTAGTGACGTACAAAACGTGTACAATAGTTCTATTTTGTATTTGCAAAAGACTACTGTACACATTCACTGAAGAAGATCTACATGTATCTTTATACTCTGTGTTTTTTTGGGGGGGGTAGCTAGTTGGTTTGACAGGCTATATTTTAGTGGTAACGTAATGAGATCTGTATTGACTCGGGGAGTCTTGCTAGATCTTAAAATTTTGCCATGACTTAAATTGAATAGTAGCGCTACATCTGTGACAAGTTGTTTTGTGTGATATCAGCAAAATGTTCATGTACAATTAATATAGACATATAACCTATATATATCTGGCATACTGACTTATCTGTATGGTAAACCTCACATGTCTCATGAAGGTCTAATACCACAATCTTTACCCAGATTTAGAACAAAATAAACAAATAATGATATTATTTGTATCAGTACCATGGAGTCCAGACAAAGTTTCTTACTGTTATTTACATTTGACTAAATTTCTTTCCAAATTTGTAAGTTCTAACATTTATTTATTTATTTATTTATTTATTTATTTATTTATTTATTTATTTATTTATTTATTTATTTATTTATTTATTTATTTATTTATTCATTCATTCATTCATTCATTCATTCATTCATTCATTCATTCATTCATTCATTCATTCATTCATTTATTCATTTATTTATTTATTCAAATAGTGAGCCCCTGATTCAAATAAATAAAAATAACAAAGTAATCCTTGCTCATGTTCCATGTTGATGGGTGAACAATCCCAAACCAAACCTAAAGTATTTGGGCAATTCTATCATGTATATTTCATACATACTGGTAGATGTGTTTAAATGTAATATATGATTAGTGTATAATCGGCGTGATCATGAACTGCCTAATGACTTTCACTAATGACAATCCAGGTGAATCAAGGGATGGTATCGGTGCCATTAATTCCCTTGTCAAAAAACAAATGATGCATCTTGAATCAAAATGTCAACAAATATGAGTTAAAATGTTACTACAACCTAACTATTTACTGGTTATAGGCCGAAAATGAAGAAAAGGATTCAAGCACTGGCTACCCATATGTCATCTTGGGAGATTATATTATACTGACAACAAATTTATCAGACAAGCTTGTGGCTATACCTTGGACGGATTTGTCAATGACTGGTAGCATAAATCGGTGTACAGAAATATTGTAAAATCTCCTAACTTAGAAATGTATGATCACGTATTACACATTAAACTGCGACTTGGGTTACCGCCGTGGTATGCTGATGTATGTGTTAATTAAAACACTGAAACTTAAATAACTGCGACACCAAACTAAGAAACTCTAGAACATGATATCAAACTGTCTTTCTCATCTGCATTTTTCCGTTGAAGGTACTAAATCCCGTATCTCAGAGTTATTGATTTTGGCAGAAGGGAAAGCACAGAATGATCTTTCCTAAGCAAAACTATCCAACACATATCTTAAATCTATCTTTAAAAATTGATGATGATACTACAATTCTGGGCTTTAATGTAGAGCTAACAAAGACTTTACGCTTAAAAATGGACTTAAAATACATATGAGGAAGTAACAGATCAAATTAAAATTTACAATACAATTTTTTGTAAATATTGGTACACATTACAACATTACCAACTGCAACAGTATTCCTAATCAATGTTTCTCAGTTCAACAAACGGATCGATACAAAGAAATTGTGATTATGTCCGATACTAAAGCGACAGTGCTTGATGGAATCAGTGTCAAAATATTAAAATTTAGTGCCTCTGCGATTTATTCTACTCTTATTTTGAAATCCAGATCTGTGTCGATTGAATGGAAGATTGCCAAAGTTATGCCAATATTCAAATCTGGTGACCCGAAAAATAATGTGAACAATTATAGAACCATTTCAGTGCATCCGTTATGTAGTAAAATAATTGCAATTGTTGTAAACTTGCTAAGTTGTATAATGAAATTCTTAAGAATATCAACAACGGTAAATATAATATTGCTGTTATGATAGATTTACGGAAAGCATTCGATAAGTGTGAACCACTCGATATTACTACAAAAGCTCAAATGCCACGGACTAGCTGACATTACACTCAAGTGGTTCAACTCTTATCTTGAAAGCAGAAATAAAATGTGTATTATTGAAGTGTTCGAATAACTTGGTATTAATAAAGTGGTCCCACAAGAGTTGAAACTTGGGCCATTGTATTTATTTTATTTATCAATTTGTCAACATTGAACACATTTGCAGACGACACTATATTTCATGTCACTGATTTACAGGTTGTCGTGTCGCGTGACGTACATCTCCGACTGGATAACTGAGAACAGCTTGTGTTTAAATGCTGATTAAATTTAGTATATACATATAATGGGATTGTTATTGACACAGAAGAGCTATGGTTCTTCCCAGAGACTTGCGCAATACAAACGTGCGACGCCAATTGGCATCGCAAATAAAAGTCGACAAAAGGACAATGTTTCTACGCGGAACACCGTCAAAGCTACCGCCAATCGATAATATCATGTTCATTAAACTCTTACCAAAGCCGAACTTGTGATAAAAACGATTAGTTTGATATTCTTTTTCACGGGATATAGTAATCCGGACCACAAATCCGGTGGCAACCATTTTCTTCAGGTCGAACTCGGACAATATGGCGTCACTGGAGAAGGTATTTCTGATAGCTTGTTTGATACTCCCGTCAACGAACATGTCGTCGCACGTTTGTGTCACGCAAGTCCATGAGAGAAACGATAACTCTTCTATGTCGATAAAAATCACAATGTTCAAAAATAAGAAACTTAATGACACGAAATATACCAGAAATGACTAAAATACCATAACAAAGACTAAAGACCGACACAAGAAGAGCTATGGACTCACAACTACGTATGTTGTGCGTAGTGCATGTAAACGACCTATCCCCAAAAAGATAGTTTAGTTACTTGGGTATCTGTAGCCAAGAGTAGATATCAATTTCAAAGATATGTTAAATTTTATAAGTCATATCGATAAATTATACAGAAAGGTTCCCAGGTTACTCGGTACCCGCAGTCGATGTGTCTAAGCTAGTGCTTTAGTTGTACCATTGATCGACGACTGTGATCTGATATGGGTAACGGTCGTAAAAAACATAAGCGTCCACCAAGAATAATTCCTTCCTAGATGTGTCTATTTTCTATTTACTGCAGTTATATTCAATAAATTAGAATGAATTCCAGTGTTACAATGTATTGAGGTTCACAAAGGGGTGTTAGCATATAAGGCTATGAAGTTACATGGGCAACAATTTTGTTAAACATATCCACACTCGTCAAACTAGGCCAATGTTCTGTAGTGATTTCGATTGAACCGCCTATCAATGGCCAACGTTTTCGAACGAGGTTTCACTGGAAATTAGTTCGGTAGGGAGTGTAAATATTTTTATATCTCGTTTTTTTAAGCAATTATCCTGACAATTTATTTATTAATTACAATATATTTACGTTTTTTTTATAAATTAGTATTTAAATTGTGTATGAATGTTTTGCCGTGTTTTATCTATTCCTTTCGTGGTATTTTAATTTGTTGCGCTATTCATGGGAAACTTTATTATTATTTAAGAATATCACCCAGCTATGTGGATTTTAATATTTGGTGGTATGCATAATCGGTCAGGTTTGGATGTGTTAGATGTCATGGGTGGTTTTGTTTCACTCGAAAACTGTATACAATACAATGAATGAGACATCTGGCAAGATCAGTAACGTAACCTGCGTAACGTCAATATACGTCAATAATATTTGGATGGTTATTTGCTAAATGTACTGTGGGACACGGGTGCCAACGTACAACCCAATTGCTAGAACAATTCGGCAGTTTTGTACATCCCTGGCCCCACATTATGTTGACAATGAGTGGCCGCTTGTAAGGAAGTAAAACGGAATCAATAATGAAGCTTAAATCGCACTGGTCAAAGCAAAGGCGGGTGGCAGCTGAATTGTCGTGTTGCTTCATGAGTGTTGACGGGATGAAATAACTTTTTGAAAAGCCGTAAAGTAAAAAAAGAGGAAACACTACACAGGCTCCTAATTTAGAATACCAGTATTCGTACCGTACTAATCTCAAATACACACGCCAGTCAAAACGAACTAAATATTCATATATTACCCCCCTTTTTCACTCAAAAACTGGGTAAAGTTTAGCAACATAATAGTATCATTCGCCAACACTAAACATATTCATTGCAAGTTCATGTGTGTTATTGCAGCGCCGTATTGTTCCCGCTATCAGAATTGGGCCAAGGCAACGATATATAGAATATCAAAATTAAAAAACTATATATAACACAAAATGCCACGTGGAATTTAGTTTGGAACGAAATATAGCATAGCATAGCGTAGCGTACCATAGCATAGCGTAGCGTAGCATAGCGTAGTGTAGCATAGCATAGCATGGCATAGCATAGCATAGCATAGCACAGCGTGGCACATCATAGGATATCATCGAGTAGCATATTATAACATACCATAGCGTAGCATTAGCCTGGCATAGCAGTGTTTCAGTATCAGCATATCGACGATACTTATCAATTAATTCGGTGAATGTAAAATGAAATAAAGTAGAAAATTACCAATGAATAATAAGGATGTTCCAACGAGAAAACGAAGGCGACGTACCTGCAGTGACTACGTAATCCAGCGATGGAAATCTCTTTTTCACAGATTTGCTCACAGTGCAGTAGGTAAGCAAGGCACCTAGATTAATGTAACGTATCATAGTGCGACGAAGCATCCGAGCCTCCTCATCTGTCCCATGCACGTTAGCAGCAATATCGTAAGCCAACTTGTCTGGCCAGGGAATAGACAAAAACTGGTCCCACCAACGTTGCACAATAATAGAAACATAAAAACCCAACACGAAACTTATAGGCGTCATCGACGTGAACTCTTCTGCATAAATACAAAATGCCTCGAAGCTAGTCTTCTGTGTTTCGTTGAGAGCAAATCTATAGACGAGACTGACTATTGCGTAGGAGAACAGGAATACTAACGCCTCTCTCCAAAGTAGCTTGTAGACGCTACCTTTCCATCTGAATAACAGCTTGTAAAATCCACCAAGCTTTGCCTGTAAAGAATAGAAACAGTATAATTTGATCATATTAATACAATCCTTTCCATAACACCCACTTCATCCACTCTACATATGTTAGCTGTCAGATTCCCTAAAACAATGTTACAGCAGCGGATAAATAATTACCAATGCTATCACGTTCGAAAATCGTTTAGATATATTTAAAATGCAGGTCATGCAGACATAATCAAAGATTGAGCTAATTTGAATGCAGATGTACCAACACAAGACGTCATCATTGAGACAGCATGTGCCAATTTTATCCACACATACTTCACTGTTTGGGACGTGTTGTCTATACTTGCTAATTATAATATACAAATGAGCCAACTTCATCTAGGCGTTGTGTTACTTATTTCTTTTATCTGAATGTCATTGCCATTCGATCTGTATATACCTCTATGTGACCACACATCGATGACAACATTTCTACTCACAATATATTTCTGGGAATTGCGATTATGCGTGTGTTTCCCAAAATAACTCATCTATTAGTAAAACATCTCTACCCACAATATAATTCTAGGAATTATGGGTAAGCATAATTAATTAGGTCACAGGACATATGTGTGACCTATATCACTACCCGTACGTGGTTACATACTGTTGACTAAAATACCGCTACACAGTGCATCGCTGGAAATTGTGAATTGGAAGTAAGCATAATTAATTAGGTCACATGACAGACAATGTGTTTCCCAAATGACTATCCCATGACAAGAATGCATCTCTGGGAATTGTGAGTGTGCATAATTAATTAAGTCACATATATGATCAGGATTATCAAAGGATGGCGATAAATTACCAGTGTGTTATCAGAGAACAACCAACACTTACCAGTAGGTTATCAGAAGATAGCTAGAAACTCACATTTAGACTGTCAGAGGATAACTAACACTTACCGGTGGTTTATCAGAGAACAACCAACACTTACCAGTAGGTTATCAGAAGATATCTAGAAACTCACATTTAGACTGTCAGAGGATAACTAACACTTACCGGTGGTTTATCAGAGAACAACCAGCACTTACCAGAAGGTTATCAGAAGAAAGCTAAAACTCACATTTAGAC